CGGTTTCCTTGAGCGCAATCTTGAAAGGTGTGCTCAACCTTTTGCTTGCTCAGAAAAAGGTTGTGGTTCCTTCTCTTGTAGGACTGGGAAATCCCACAACAATCCAGCATTTTCGACCGACCCCATGCTTGCTTCGTTTTCCCTGGGTTGCGTTGGACGGTGGCTGACCCCAACTCCCCTCGTCGTTTCGGTTGTCCCCGTCGACGTCGACGACGTCGGGAGGTCACGGTGATCCGAAAGGGCGAAACCGAGTGCTTCGAGTGCCAAGCCAAGCCCAGCCAGAAGGCGAGACCCGAGCGAAGGCCATGAACCGAGCGAGGCCGCTTCAAGGGCTCAAGTTGCCGAAAGGGGACGAAAAAGGCATTCAATGGTCAAAGGGCCCCATAAAAAAGAGGGGTGTTTGTGTGTGTGTGTGTGTGGGTGGGTGGGTGGGTGGGTGGGTGGGTGGGTGGGTGGGTGGGTGTGTGTGCGTTTGCGGCGGGGTCGTGCGGCAACCAATGCAAAAGCAACCAAGACTAAAAAGACGAAAGATCCGAAGGCTGAAACTCATAGAAACCGGTGGATACGAATCTGAAGCCTGGAGCAAATATCAGATTTCGGGTGAGTATCAAAGTTAGAGCCGGTTGGAGTTGGTTTCCCTTGGATACCTACTTGGGTGGCTTTGAGAGCGGTTCTAATGAGGCCAGCCAACGTCTTTCACACTCTTTTGAGAAAAAGGAACCAATCCCAACTTGGACGGAAGACACCTCCCTCCCGGAGATTGACAGACCGTGTGTGAGGCTCGGCCTCCGCGCATTGGTACTGACCAAACCAAGGATGGTGAGTCGCTTCTCCGTCCACTAAGCCTTTTTGGTTTCCCCCCACTGGACTCAGAGATGGTTGCGCCAAAGATCTTGCGCAGCTGCCATGTCATGTTATCATGTTCTTTTGGTGCACAGGTGTATCCGTTTTGCACCATCCGATCCACTCCAGAGAAGCCCGTGCCCGGGGCTCGGAGATGAAGTTGCTTCCAGGTGTTTCAGATGGGCATGTGCCTGGTTTCATGTTTGCTTAGTTTGGCGTCAGCGCAACTTTCAACAGGCCCCACGAGAGTTTGGCGTTGAGCTGCGAGTGAATCGCATGGTCAGCGAATCGCCTTCCCTGCGACTCGTGACCTTCAGCTCCGAGGGGCTGAAAGCTGAAGGTCTGTGGGCTGGGTGCTGCTGATGGAAGACAATGCTTCAAGAGGGAAAGCTTCTGTCTCGGAAATTTCTTGGGAGCCTCCGCCTGGGTTCACTTTTGTTTCCCTGAACCCCGAAAGGGGACTTAAAGGGACATCGTTTCCTCCCGCAAAACGGGAATCCAGGGAGGGGGTCGTCTGTTTTCTTTTGAGGTCACCCTTTTTGAGTTTTGAGTTTAAAGAGGCACCTTTCAGGGAAACCACACATATGTTGGGTGTTCTCCCCCCTCAAAAGACGAGCCACCCTCAAAAAGAGGGAACAAAGGCGCCGAACCAAGTTCTGTGAGGCACTGCCTCACCTGGGCCAAGAACTTGTTCGACCTCTGCTTCGGGCCGGAGGACGAGTCGAACCTTTTGCCACGGCCTTGGAAGCCGGCGATCGGTCAGCCGCTCAGCCGGCGAGGTGCCGTTGAAAGGCCGTTGTTGGCCCGGCTTAGGGGAAAGAAGAGCTTGAAGAACTGATCCTGAAATCAGATTGCCGAGCAGATTGACGGCAATCACAATGCTGGAACGCTGGAACCTGCGATGTTGAGCCCATTCCGAGCGGAAGAAGGTGTGCGAGTAGATGCTGCTTGTTAAAAGTGTTCTCGACCCGCGTGTGGCAACCACTAAAACCGAGGGGATGCAGCAGTAGGTTTCAGCATAGTATTGTGGTGGCCAGAGCCATCTGGTCTAGCGATGTCTCTTCTTTTATGTTTATGATTGAGATATACTTACGTATCCCAGCCAGAACTAGGAACTACTGTGGATGGACAAACTCCTGCACCACTTTGAAACCATGGCCCCATTGTTCGTTCCTTCTCTTTTTTAGAGAGGAATCATGATCCGAGGGTAGGTGGCGCGAAATGGATTTCGTCCATCCACAGTATGGCTTCCTTTCATAGGCAATGGCCACTGCTGTCTCTTGAGGCTATGTCCTTGTAGAATGCTCTTCGAACCCGAACTGCTTTCGCGGCTTGAGGCTCACGTTGAGCGCCGGGAGTTTTCTGTAAGATTGCTGTGGGACGCGCGGGTTTGCCAGCGACATTCGCGGGTTTGGCGTTGGTGTCCTTCCTGCTGTGTGTATATGTGCGTGTGGGTAACTTTGCTGCATGGGCTTGGCTGCCGGCTTGCCATGTTGGCACTGCAATGCCGTTTGAAAATATAATATGTCGGCCTACTTCAGAAGCCTGCTTCAGCACGTTCCTCCCTTCTTGCTCTTGAATCCATTGTACTCATTCCTGCTTGCTTTGAATTCATATGCTCCAAGGAAAGAATGTATCCGTGCAAGGTGAGTTGCACTAGCGTGATTCACAATGTCTGAACAGATTGGAGCGTGAAAGAGGTTGCTGTCCATTGCGCCTGCCGGGATTATGCATTTGTCCAATTGCTGTCTGACTGTCGGGCAATGCCCAGACACAATGAGGACAATTCTGTGCCATGAGCAGAAGCGATGGCTGCGGTAGTTTTGCTTCCCAACGGCGCTTGCAGAACTGACATTTCCCTGGCGCTTTCTGTGTGTGTGTGTGTTTTGCTGGATGGACTTGGCATGTTGGTGCTGCAACTCCAAGTGCAAAACGCACGTTGGCCTAGTTCAGGCGTGCTTGTCCTTTGTTTCTTTTCAGGTCGTCGCACTGGTTATTGCTTGCCTTGAATACATGTGTTTATAATATATATATATATATATACATATATAAATATATATATATATATGTATACATGTATATCTATGGTTTGAATGTATCCGGTGCAAGGTGAGTTGCACTAGCGTGATTCAACATGTCTGAACAGATTGGAGCGTGAAAGGAGGTTGCTGTCCATTGCGCCTGCCGGGATTATGCATTTGTCCAATTGCTGTCTGACTGTCGGGCAATACCCAGACATAATGAGGACAATTCTGTGCCATGAGCAGAAGCGATGGCTGTGGTAGCTTTGCTCTCCAGTGGCGCTCGCAAAACTGACATTTCCCTGGCGTTTTCTGTGTGTGTGTGTGTTTTGCTGGATGGACTTGGCATGTTGGTGCTGCAACTCCAAGTGCAAAATGCACCTTGGCCTAGTTCAGGCGTGCTTGTCCTTGTTTCTTTTCAGGTCGTCGCACTGGTTATTGCTTGCCTTGAATACATGTGTTTTTATATATACATATATATATATATATGTATATATACATATATCTATGGTTTGAATGTATCCGGTGCAAGGTGAGTTGCACTAGCGTGATTCAACATGTCTGAACAGATTGGAGCGTGAAGGAGGTTGCTGTCCATTGCGCCTGCCGGGATTATGCATTTGTCCAATTGCTGTCTGACTGTCGGGCAATGCCCAGACATAATGAGGACAATTCTGTGCCATGAGCAGAAGCGATGTCTGCGGTAGTTTTGCTTTCCAGCGGCGCTTGCAGCAACTCCAAGTGCAAAACGCACGTTGGCCTAGTTCAGGAGTGCTTGTCCTTTGTCCTTTGTTTCTTTTCAGGTCGTCGCACTGGTTATTGCTTGCCTTGAATACATGTGTTTATATATATATATATATACATGTATATCTATGCGTATCATGTATCCGGTGCAAGGTGAGTTGCACTAGCGTGATTCAACATGTCTGAACAGATTGGAGCGTGAAAGGAGGTTGCTGTCCATTGCGCCTGCCAGGATTATGCATTTGTCCAATTGCTGTCTGACTGTCGGGCAATGCCCAGACACAATGAGGACAATTCTGTGCCATGAGCAGAAGCGATGGCTGCGGTAGTTTTGCTTCCCAACGGCGCTTGCAGAACTGACATTTCCCTGGCGCTTTCTGTGTGTGTGTGTGTGTTTTGCTGGATGGACTTGGCATGTTCGTGCTGCAACTCCAAGCTTGTCCTTTGTCCTTTATACATGTCTGCTTATATATGAGTTGCACTAGCGTGATTCACAATGTCTGAACAGATGGGAGCGTGAAAGAGGTTGCTGTCCATTGCGCCTGCCGGGATTATGCATTTGTCCAATTGCTGTCTGACTGTCGGGCAATGCTCAGACATAATGAGGACAATTCTGTGCCATGAGCAGAAGCGATGTCTGCGGTAGCTTTGCTTTCCAGTGGCGCTCGCAAAACTGACATTTCCCTGGCGTTTTCTGTGTGTGTGTGTTTTGCTGGATGGACTTGGCATGTTCGTGCTGCAACTCCAAGCTTGTCCTTTGTCCTTTATACATGTCTGCTTATATATGAGTTGCACTAGCGTGATTCACAATGTCTGAACAGATGGGAGCGTGAAAGAGGTTGCTGTCCATTGCGCCTGCCGGGATTATGCATTTGTCCAATTGCTGTCTGACTGTCGGGCAATGCTCAGACATAATGAGGACAATTCTGTGCCATGAGCAGAAGCGATGTCTGCGGTAGTTTTGCTCGTCAGAGTTGCTCCGGGCCTGTATATCCATCAGCCATGTGTGGTCGCAAATCACACGCCATGTCATGGTTTATTTTTCTTTTAAGCAGAAAAGTCATAGGTGTTGTTTTTTGGGTTCAAGAAAGAAGCCAATGCATCGGTGTTATGTGTATATTTTTACATTTCCATACAAGAAAACATCCCATCGGCCCATCCGCCGATTCGCAGACGTAACTTTCGGCCGATGCCGCGGAGCTGAGGGCAGATCTCGCCGCGGAGATGAGACAGTTCCAGAGCCAGGAGGAGCGACCCACCCAAGGGGTGTAACAGGAGTTGCCTCAGATCTTGGGCTGGGCCGGTTCGTTTTTGGTGTGTTTTTTTGTTTTGTTGTGGGTAGTTTTGTCTGTGTTGTTGTTTGAAAGGGGTAAGTAAAGGAAAACCACCAGTGTTCTGTGTTTCTGCGCGCGGAGTCTGAAGCTTTCCGAGTCCCAAGTTCGCAGGCTGTGGACGGCGAAGACGTTGGCAAGCGGATTTTCAAGAACCTCTTCGAAGATGACATCAAGAAGCAGGCCGCTCGTTCCTGTCGTTGCCTCTCCACTCAAAGGCTCTGGAGAACACATCTTTGGGCCAGGGGCCGGAGAACGGGAGAATGGCCCCCCATGCTCTGGATTGGGCCCCACAAATAAGCGGCCCCTCTCAGAAGAATCCCAAAGAAGCTCTTGGGCATCACAAGAAAGGGTGCAGTCCTCGCTTGCCCGCTGACAGCCCAGCTTGCCAAAACGCAAATTGAACCGAAACCAAAACCCGAAACCAAAACCCGAAACAATCACACACCTACCCAATCGCAACTTTTCAGATTGCAAGTTGAGTCAATTTGCGCAACACGATGGTCACTTGCAAGATTATGGATTTCACGACTTAAAAGCTACACTGTATGTGGTGCCCAGAAAAAGAGTTTACTTCGCCCAGTTGCACAAGGATGGTGGTGAAGCATGGCGGGACCCCCCTGGCACCTTGATGAAGATGCTTCTTATTCGGGAATGGGTTGAGGGCGGTAGATTTGCGGTTTGGGCTGAAGCTTTGACAAGGGTGAACCTTCCAGAGAACAGGTTTGCATACCGATGCAGGATACCCTGGACATCCATCCTGATCCTGTTTTCCGTTCACGTCCCACTTGCCCAAATTTGGCTTGGATCACCTTTTGAGGGATTGATCATAGAAACCCGCAAATACCGGACCTTTGCCAAATACTCCACCGAAAACAAGTTGATCCGGGGTTGCCCCTTTTTTTGAGGGCCATGCTTCTTTTTTTTTAAATGGAAACCCCAAGGAACACCGTTTGGAAATACTCATTTTCCGGGTCCCCAAAAAACCGGACACACGGGTTTCCATGCAGCTTCCCTGAAAGCCAACGAACCATGGGGGGGGGTGCCAGCTGCAACGGAAAAAAAACCGTCCCTGAAAAAGCCAACGAAAACAAGAAGGGGTAATGACCAGCAATAAGGAGCACTTCCCTTAGAATCACCGAAATCAAGAAGGGGTAATTCCCAGCCAGAAAAGAAAAGAGGCAACTCCGAGGTGCCCCGAGGTTTGGCTCGGCTCTCGCTCGACTCGAAACTCGTCCGCGGCCTTAGGCGCGGCTGGAGGACCTCTGGTCGGAGGCGCGGCCAGCGCCGGCGCCCTTGGGCTTCGAGGAGGCGCTCACGTCCGGCGGCCCGGGGGTCCTTGGGGTCGTTGGGGTCGTTGGGGTCGTGCGTGGACCAAAACCTGCGGTTTTCTGGTGGTTTGATTTGACCCATACACATTTTTGTGGTCAAAACCAAAGGTGACTTTTTGGGGACGGTTACCACTCTGTTGTCTCCTTAGAAGGCTTTCTGGGTGTTCACCGGGGTACCGGGGTTTCGACCCATAGCCTTATGAACCAAAACATGAACATCACCATGTGAACCAAATGGAACCCTGGCAAATGGAGATATGGGAGTGAAGTGGCCCACGATTTGGGATGCGGAGACCAGGTTGAGACCAGGTTGTTAGTTTGTGACACAAATGTTGCCAGGCTCCTCCCTGTACAAGGAAAAGGAACAGGAATCGTGTTTCTTGTTTTTAGCTTGGTTGTTGGGTGATTTTATTTGGGTTCGGTTTGCAGCGAAAGTCAGACACTTGGGTGTTTGTTTTCCCCGTTTTTCAACCCAGGGGGTGACTTTTTTTGTTGGCGTTCTTGCAAAAGCTGCTGCGATGCAAAGCGCTTTCAAAGAAATCCCTTGCAAAATGGTCGAAAGACTTGCTGCGAGAGATGCCCCGAAAAAGAGAAATGGCTCACGCCCCGAGAAAAAGCCTCCATTCACAAAAGGTGTTTCCTTTCGAAAAAAAATCCTAAAACGGTTCATTCCCTCGTTCCCTACTGAGCAACAGCAAGTTTTGGACTCCCTCCCTGTACTACAAGGTTTTTTGACCCCCGTGCGGACCAGAGACTGGGAGGTGGGAAATGATGTGTCCCAGGTCTGGTTCATTTTTAGCGGTTCGGGTTTTGGGGCGATCCAAGACAGCAAATGGGGGTGTTTCCCTTTAACCTTCCCCTTGTCCCAACAAATCATGGGGCCAGTAATGCAAGAATAAGCTCAGGTGATATCCCCAACAGCATACGTTGCTCTTTTTCGTGCTCGCACCACCCCGCAGCCCTCGTGGAACACTGGTGGAACCCTCGTGGAACCCTCGTGGAACCCTCGTGGAACCTTGCCTCAGGGCCGCCCCGGACCACCCCGGAGCCTATCTGGGCTGAGACCCCAAAGCTTTCAGCTGTTGGGGAAAAAAAAACAGGAAACTGTGTTTCCCCCTTTGTGGTTGGCGAGCAATGATTGTTTCCCACCAGAAGCAAACCAAGCAGGAAATAATGGTATCCCTTTTCAAAATCCTTTCTAGACAGGGGTTCCCCATTGTATGAAGCACC